AGGACTCTTGCTGAAGGTAAATAATAGTTATCCCATTTCCTTCCATCGACAATACACAAGGTCCCGGTTAGCATAAAGTTCTTCGTTTGTCTAAGTTTGGAGGCAAAATCAAGATGAAAGTCCGTATGAGTTACACACATAAATCCGATCTCAAATTAGTTCAATCATAATGACTATTCAGACAAGAAGGCCATCGCTTTATGATTACAAAGTAAACTTAATATCGCCATCCAATTGTTCGATTTTCGCTCCTAAGCTCTTCAGACTGATATATCCTAATTCTAGCTAGGAATTAAGTACTCTTTGATTTAGCTACCACTGAACCACGCTAGAGAGATGCTAGCAAAAATCGAGGCTAAGAAAGATAAGAATGCCGGCTTAGGCGTCCTTCCTTATAAAAAGTTCAAATGTTTTAAATAACTAATTGAAGTAACCTAACAATCTACTCTTATTATAAAATTATTCGTCGCATCACTTCTCGATCTATAGCTGAGATGAATTTAAGAAGAAAAATAATTCTGTGCAGAAAAATTAGTTTATATTGAATTCAGATTACTACTTGATTTTGATCTAGTTTATGTGCAAAATAAAGTAAATACTCAAATGAACGAATAGCCCACACTTTACTTGAGGTCACGTGGTAAAAAAAGATAGAAATATCTGCAGTGTAACAGAAAACATGGTCCAGCAAATTAATCTTAATTCAATTTTGCTCAGTTTCGACTTGAGGGGACGAGATGATAAGAAGCATGACTCACGTGATATGAGAATGAAGAGGAGTTTAACTTACATATTCGTCAGACCATTCAATGAGGATCTCACAAATAAAATGTAACGAGTTGATAACATCTATCCAGCGCTGTTGATGCAAGCGTTCCGAGTCGTGGAATGATAGACAGCTTAGACCCAGAGCATCATCGGATAAACTAAATAGGATGAAAAGTGGGATTCGCATTGATGAGGTGCTGAATGAAATAGGCAAAAATGTATGCAATTCACTAAAAGGTTCAGCTTATTTTCCTGAATGGTATTAAAATAAACGAATCCAAGGCCACGAACGTCAATTTGCAGGAAACCTGAAAGTCTTTTGGAACACAGTAATGTGTGAAGGTCAGTTAACACATAGGAGGTCATTGTTCTTAGGCGACCAAAAAAGGAAAAATTGGAATTATTTAGTCGAAGGTATGAAGACCAAGATGGTGTGGCCTTTTGTGTGGTCGCATTCTACTTTCGTTGTATAGAAGTTGTCTGACCTTGTTTTCGCAACTTGGTCATATTGGTAGGAAGACTTGGAGGAACACATATAGTCTGTAGTCCATTGAATGCATGCTCATTTCCAGAGTCGGACCGTGGACGTGGTGCATTCCCAGACGTTAGGCCGGCATCGTCAGTGAGTTTTGTCAGTCTTAGCTCCACAGTACAACAAGTCAGAGACAAGTGAAGCCGATGCTTTGACCAATTGCCTGCTAAACAATCGTATTATCCCTCCTTTCTTTTGAATACCAACCCACAAATGTTGTGGTTCAACACTGAACCTAATCAAAACAAGAAGTAACACAAAATTTGTGGGTTGGCGCACAAGAGGCTATGGCATAGGAAATTAAAGACTTGGTATTATGGATAGAAACAGAATAGATGCGATGTAGACTAGATCTAGTTGGCTGACAGTAGGCTTGTTTTACCATAGACGTAGTCCATGAAGCAAAGGCTTGATCATGAGAATTACTCAGGGGATTTAGCCTCGAATTAGTTTCTCAGAGGCAGTGTGGGAAATAAGGCCTCGAGTAGCACAGATGGCGTGGCAGGGGTCAAGTGAAATACTTGGACCAAGGAGATAGCAGACGAATAATACGTGGCAAGAGGGAGACTATAATAAGACCTAGGGAAGAAGGATCGTGTAACAATATAGCAAACTCTGATCAATATTTCCAGCACAAGGATGAAGGGGGATGAGAAAGCCAGCGTGGAGTGTACAGAGCTCTCATGAAAGCCGCTCAAAATGGTACACCATACCACATTTAAATCAGCAAGTAAAAATTATGATAGTGAAGGCGTGATACAAGGATATAGGATTGGTGATTAGCCCAGGAGAGATACCACAATTGTTTAGCAGAAAAATGGTCAAAGAATCGGCTTTACTTGTCTCTTTGACGAGTTGTAGTGTGGTGCTAAGAATGGCAAGACTGACTGACGATGCCGGCGAAACGTCTGGGAATGTACCACTTCCACGATCCGACTCTTAAAATTATCATGCATACAATAAACTCCGGACTAGGTGCGTTCCTACTAATATGATCAAATTGCGAAAACAAGGTCAAAAAACTTCTAAAATTATTTAATTTAGACAGATTAGATGAATCAAACGCCTAAAATTAAAGATAGATTTGGTTCGACTTTGTTTTCGCAACTTGGTGCTAAAAAGAATATAGTCGAAAAAATACTCATACTCTTACATCGTTATCTTACAAGAATGGCAAAGTTAGATTGTAAATGTAGATGGAAATATTCACTTCCGAATAAATATTAAGTGTCATGTATATAGATATATACAGCAGTATATCAGAGATAGTTGAAAACTATATAAAAGAGACTGAGCGCTCCAGTGAATTGAGTCTATTTCTGAGGAAGTAGTTAAAATGGAAATAGAGCTAGTCACGTTCATAATAGGTCGGATAAGTTTCCAAAGGCTAAGTTGTCTGTTTGCCGAGTTGACGATCAGCGGATTCGGATTTAAGCAAACCAGATGGTTTCAATAAGTCAAAACTGGAAATATTAAACAAGACTCACAAACAAAGAATAGTTATTCAAATTCCAATTAGTGTCGAAGTCTATCAATTATTAATGAGAAAAGTAATGTCGATTGTAATGGCAAAAACAAGTTTGCTAGATCGACGCTAGCTTTGGTGCATATGAGTCCTAAATTTGCTACGCTTTTCGTTCCATACCTTTCCAAAACAAAGGTACCGATTCCCTGTAGACTTGTATACAACAAGATGAATATGTTTTAGTTGGTAGGTCAGAAATACGAGATGGACCAAACGCCGAACATAGGCTGCAAACTAACCAGGTAATAAAAGAATGGGAAATAATTGGTATGTGACGTGCGGCGTGGAAATGAGGTGTCCGTAATCGTTGGTGATAGCCCGTACCGCAACAAATGATGAAAAATAATTAATATTCGGTCAATATTCGGAAAAATGGGTGAAACATGAACTTAGGGCCGCCATCTTTGCTATTTGAGGACAACACTTCAAATATAAAGAAAAGAAGCTAAACAAGAACTTTAAAATAATTTAAGTTATTTTTCGTTTATAAGTAGATTTTCGGGATTACCAGTAGATAATTTATATATGAAGTGTATTCACCCTATTTCAGTTAAGGTGATAAGGGGTTTGATAGTCGAATTTTATACAAAGATATGCGTATACCCTATGTTTCCAATGAATTTCACATTGTCTTGCTTTCCAAAAAGGTATTATAATCCAGGATGGACTGCAGTTTCGACCTCGCCTAGGTCTTATCAACACCTTCACTAACTCCTGATAATGAAGTGAAGTATAAGCCACCTTTAGAGTTGACGAAAAGGGGTCATTATATGGCTGCGAAATAGAGGCATTTGCAAGTAATTAAGCAATACGAACGTAATAGGCCCAGGCCTGAATGGGGTACTGTGCAGTTTGTCGGTAGCCTGGGGTAGCATCCTTGTATAATTAATAAATAGAGAACTAACCTTGCTAGGAATAATAAATTCACTAGGTAAGCGGATCATAGCCCGCACTCAGCCTCACTGAGGATTCTTCTGGAACTATAAGCAGGCCTTTAGTGGAGGGTGGAAACATTCCAACAAACGTTTGCCTTGTAAACGATACGCACAAGTGTGAATCATTTTAGTTTCCGGTAGTTTGGAAAGTTAGCTGAATAAGTTAGGTACGAACTGTCGGTTGTGACGATTGTTTAAGTGTCAAAGCCATAAACCCAAAGTGAAAACAAAGCTTTGGCCATAGTCTCTGTCCGTATATCCTGAATGGGTATGACCTACGGTCGTTGAGTCAACCGACCCATAATGGTGAGTGGGTATCGCCTACCTTTAGAGGACGGCAACGGATCGACAGTGCCCATCTGTAAGTCTATGAACTTCTCTGAGGCAAGCTTAAAAGTTCCGATCGAGGTTCCAGTGTAGCTGTAAACTTGTGTGCCAATCTACAAACGTTGTGGTTATACATTGAACCTAATAAAAGCAAGCAGTACCACAGCATTTGTGGGTTGACACACAAGAGATTAGGGCATAGGAAGTCATAGACTTGGTATTACGGATAGAAACAGGATAGAAGTGGCGGAGACTGGAGTTAACTGGGTGACAGTAGGTCTGTTTTTAACATAAACGTGGTCCATGTAGCAAAGGCCTGACCATGAGACTTACTCAGAGGCTCTAGCATGTAATTAGTCACCAAGACGCATAAGAGGGGTAATAACGCCTCGAGCAGCACAGATTGGGTGGCAGGGGTCGAGTGAAATACGTGAACCAGAGAGAGCAGGGCAGAAGGGGAGACACCACAACTGTTTAGCACATGTTTGGTCAAAGGATCGGTATCCCTTGTCTCTTTGGAGAGTTGTTATGTGGTGCTAAGAATGGAGAGGCTCATTGAAGATGCCAGCGCAACGTCTGGGAATGTACCACGTCCACGGTCCGACTTTGAAAATTGTCATGCATAGAATATACTCCGAACTAGGTGTGTTCCTTTAAGTCTTCCTACCAATATGACCAAGTTGCGAAAACAAGGTCAAACAGCTTCTATGTCAATTGTGGTAATGACGGAAGTCTATTTTAGCAATCATTTGAAATTAAAACCTATGAATGCCTTCTTAGAGTCAAAGGTTTTGATTATCGCTGAGTGTTAAGATGTCTATCAGCTGTATCGTGTGTTAGCAGGCAGCGCTATTACGCACACGGCCCGAGTTAGATTTTAGATGGATGCACTAATAATACTCAGGTATAAACTTCAGCCCAGCCTGAATAAAAATACATTTAAGGAGGTAAGGATAAACAAAATTCCATTGCACTGTAAACCTACTGACATTATTGTGGACATTAGCGTGACTACAGTACTGATATATAAAATGTCAAATTAGGAAATATTTTATTTTAACAAAAGATCAGAATAAATTTAAACCCACCTATCTCTGCTGGGAAGGGATGTTCTTTCGCTAGATGAAGGGGATAAGATGGAGCTAGTGGCGACACCAGAACTCGAAGAAAAATTGATAGTGGTGTTTTTGGTCAAGATAGAAGTAGAATTGATGTGTTGGGAGGGCTGACTTGAAAGTGAAATTGCGATCCTGCTATCGCGCCGAGCCAACTGCACAAGACGCAAATGAAACTGACGCAGAAGACCCAACTGAGCAAGAAGAAAACGAGCTCGAGCCGTTGGCTTAGTTAGGCTCTTGGCACGTTTGGCCATCGCATGTAAGAGGATAACAAATTCATTGACACACTGAGGCCTGGAGGAAGTAAGGAAAGCTGACAGTAATAAATAGACACATGCTAAAAATCAAGTTGTACAAACAGTTTTAATCTAGGTGATACTTGGTAATAGGACTTAATTGAATGAAACAAATTAGGTTCTATAAATAATGCTTTGGAAATAGCTTTCAATTACACCTCAGCTTTTAAACTAGCCGAGGAGAGGCTGAATGAATAAGCCAAAGTTTATTAAGCCAAAAATATATAAGATTAAGAGGCAAACTGGACAGTGAGCGATTCTTATGCTCCAATTAAAGCAGAATGGAGGGGAAACCGCCTAAGAAAAAATGCCCAACAATTGCTAAGGCAAGCAAGACACCTGGAGTGGCTTCAATGTC